GACAACCGGTGGTTGCCACCGTCGCTCATAGATGGCGGTAGGTGTCCAGAGTTCGGTGTCTTTATTTCTTTGCGGAGGACACGATCCTGGGGAAACTAGCCCCTAACAGCTCCGCTGTAAAAGCGTTTCGTGAAACCGCTTTGTATAGCGGCGACGAAGAATAGGTGAGCGGTGTCTGGCAACTTCCGGTTCCTTAGGAAATTTTGTTTCACTGTTGGCAAGCGACGACAATGAGCTGCAAGGCTGTGAAAGCATGGTTCTGGAACCTCCAGACTGTATGTAGTTTTCAGAACCATGCTTAGACACGCTTGCAGATCATCGTCGTCGTTTGTCAGCAGCCAAACGAAATTTCCCAAGGAACCGGAAGTTTCCGAATGCCGCTCACCTATTAAAATTGGCGAGGGATGTACATAATACCATAGCCTCTTCTATACTCACAAAACCTGGCAGTTCGACGACGGAACCATAGAGCGCCCGGTCGAAAATTTGGAGCGCGAGGATTTGGTAGCACAGAGGATTTCTCGGCGAAGCTGGTAGTGAGTGCACAGCTTTTGCAGCGGCGAGGGCGCGCAAGGAACGCGAGCAGCACTAGCGGACATTCCATCGCTCGGGAGAAGTGTGTTTCGGCGTCTCGCCATTGCGGGGCGCCCGTTACATGACTCACCTCAGAGCCGTATGTCTAAAGAGTTTGGCCATTCATTTGGAAGTATAGGAGACAAATGAGGAGGCGCGAATGGCCGAAAGCGGGCTGGGCGTGTTCCAGGGCGTCTTCACAAATTCGAATGAGACCAACCAGAAGCCGGAAATAATACCCTGGCGGTGGTCCCGAGAAACAAACCTGATAACTGCATCGGAGTAACTCTCGGTGTCTAAAAATACGGAGCACGTGATGTTTCAATCCCGGTAATTCGAAATCATGGTGGAAGAGTGCGACTAGTGGAACGATCGACATAACCCGTACGCCAGGCGCCAAGGGCCGGGAACTTGCCGTCCAATCTGTCACACCCCGTACGAGTAAGACAGAGTTCGAGCGGCACATTCGTTTTTTACATCTTTCTGCATGATCATGATCGAAACATCACGCGTACTCTATTTTCAGCCATGAAGGGTTACTCCCTTAAACTCTTACGCGCTTATTAAAATGAGTAAAACTTTCTCGCTACCACCGCTAGGGGATTTTTTTAGGCGTCTGGTTGTTGGCCAACAGAGCACGCCACACCTTCTTTCTGCGTCTGGTGCACGTCCCGTCTCTGCCCGCGCCTCCCATTCACCAAAACTCTGGATACATGGTTCTGACTCTCCTCTAATCCGCTGTCTTCCGCCCTACCTTTTTACTTTCGACGGCCACGTCTCGTGGCGATTTGCCAGGCTTTGTCTGTATAGAGGAGGCCATGATATTACCTACTCCCTTTGGCCTCGCGATGAACCGCACGGGACGCTATGACACATATCCAAGTGAATCATATACAGCGTGAGTGCCATGGGTCCTTCGGGCGGGGAGCGGCAATTACCGGGTCGCCTAGTCACGTGTTATTTTCACAGCTCTGGATTGGCTGACACGGCTTATAAGGTCCGCTGCGATCCATCGTAAGCCGAAATGGCGTAGAGTAGCGGAATTGCCAATAAACGCGACAAGGGTTTCTTTATTATTATTTTTTGTTCGCGTCACGAGACAAGGAAATTAAAAAGGTCCTTCGAGGCTTATCGGATATGTGCTCGACTTTTTTGGAAGGCATCCATCTATTGTGGAGCCCCTCGCTTCATATTGTTGGTGTTGGCGGGATCGGGTCCCCCAATTTATTAACATCTAAGACGCCCAACCCGCAGAGTTAGGCGTAGGAACTGTTAGTTTCGCAAGAAAACGGTCGCCCGTGTGACGGGTCAGATAAATTTATATATATATATATATTGTCCGGCAGCTTTTTGTGACGGCCTCATAAAATCGAAACGAAGGTGTTTCGCGGTTGCGTCATTTTCTCGTAAATCTTGTCGCCAAGAAAAAATAATATCTCTGCTTTTGCTAAAGTTGCGCAAGGGTTGATGGCTTGTTCTGATTCACGTCGACAAGACATTGCTTTTGACGCTTTAGCATACGGGTTTCGAAATGGATCGTTTGAAATACGGGCTCATATGCACGGCTCTGGAAAAGGTTTATTGTTTATTTATTTTATATCCGCAATACCTGTGGATCCGTTAGACATTATGGAACACAATCTTAAAATACATGCGCAAAACAACAATGAAAAATAAATATTTGCACTTGAACGCCTCTTTGTCTTTTTTTAAACTAATTCTTTCGAAAATAAATTCCAACCCCGACTGGTGTGGATGAATAATCAGAATGAAAAAAACAAACAGTATGATAACGGATGTCTGCTACTTTTTTCCGAGTTGTCCTGTCTTGAAGATACGTGGTGAGGAGCTCGAATGTACAGTTTACGTTCAATGCCTGCTCGTTTATAATATGTGGTGTGAAAACATTTCAACCTTAAACACTTTCTTTTATGTTTATCAGAGTCCGCATGGGGTTGATCATAAAACAGGATATTTTGTGGTAAATACACCAACTAAACTTTCTTACATTAGGCCGTGATGGTGGCGCTTCGGGCGCACTTTAGGTTTGGGAATATGGGCGCAAGTCGCCATGCGGGAGGCGTATTCCTGCGTTGTTTTGGAAGACACCAGGCTGGAAACCTGTCTTTTCGTCAAAACGCCGCGAGTGGGGCTGTACCAAAAAAAAAGCGGCAAAGGCCTGAAGATCAATTTTCATCTTTTTTCTGCCTGCTCGGTTCGCTTTAGTGCGTGGGTGCCTTCAAAAGGAAACACCAGACACTGTCGGACCGCAATTCCTTGTGGGGGAAGCATTTTGAGTGGATTCCACGGATACTTGTGGTTGTCAGATTTATTTGTTTTGTTCCAACATAAGCGAATGAAAACCAGCAAGTTCCTGCCGTATTGTAAAATAAATAAAAAAAAATTTCCCGGACTACTCGCGGACCAAGTTCAGTGCGTCTTCCCGTTTAAAGCACCGTCGGATCTTTCAAACTGTCGTCTGTTCTTTCAAACTCGTTCAAACGGTCGTCTGCTCGTTCAAACGACAGAGGCCAGCAGACAAAACGTTGCGATAAGGAGCAAGTGCAGGTCTCCAAAGCCTCAAATGGGAAAGTTGTTAATGGTTAGTAAGCTCCGTGTAGACAGGTGTTTATCATTCTTATCGCTGGCCATCACCGACTTGTTACGTTTGATCCCCTTGGTTCGATTCTGCTCGCGATTTTCAGTGTCGACGTCGAGTATCGCAGCTACCGTCCGCGCGTTTGCAGCCCGAGCCACATCGCAACCGAAAGTAGCGAGCAGGATCTCATCATGTGAATCAGGCTTCAGCGTCTATTTCGCGGCGTCCACGCGAATGAATCGCCGCACGCCCCGTTATTTACGCGACTTTTGCGGTGTAACGAGCCTCGTTAATTTTACTCACGCAACAAAAGTAGTACGATATTGCTTTTAAGAAATAGAATCCGCAAATAGAACGCGAAAAAAAAGCACGGGGAGTCACACCGACGCAGCCAACATCACGCTCCAATGGTTTGTTGATGAGGGACGGGGCACTTGCCTTCAACACATCGAACATGAGTGTTACCGGTGGCGTGCCGCTAGGGGCGCTCCAGTTTGTTTTCTCGTGCTGCAATCTTATTCACTGAGGAGCGATAATGAGATTGTCGGGACCCGGGATATAATCCGTTGCTTAAACTTTTAAAAACTATATTAAAAAATACTCTCCGATTGTTTTTGAAGCAGGGTGTTTCATGGAGCTGCGCGCTCTCGCGATCGTACAGCTTAGAATGAAGCTGCAAGCAATACGAAAGAAGAAGCGGAGAATAATCGCGTTAACTCGCGATCGCAGTCTTAATTTGGTTGCCTTTATCACTATTATGAGCGGATGGCGTGGTGGGTGCCGTCATATAGACGCATAAGTTATGTATACTAGGGGGTGTTTTGCCAGCACAAATGACCGCCGAAGCATGTGTAGCTGCAGTTTAAAAAAGAAAAAAAGAAATTAGCGAATTGCTAGGCAATTGTGTTATGCGTGTAACTTTCCGGTATCGCTCCAGAACGTTACCGAGCCCGCCGCCTACGTTCACGGCGCTCTTCATAAGATAACTTAACATGTGGCATGTAAACTCGATAGCTGTTCCTGCAGTACAGGTACTGGCGCTAGTCGCTTTTTTTTATTGTGCGCTTTTTTTGTTTAGCTTTCTGGTCACCTGATTTTACACATCAGCCAATCAGCATCGAACTTTGCGGCTTCCCCTTTATCCCGGCTTCACTTTTTAACTTCGTCGAAATATGAACACCCGCCTGACTAGACAAAGAACGTTTCACGTTAAAATTGTGTCCTCACTCTGGCCAATTCCTAGACTCCAAGACTTTCAGAGCTTTCTATTTTTCGCTGTTATTGTTTTTATTGTTTTGGGTACAGAAAAAAAAGATATTTCTAGAGCCAATGTGGCATGACAGGTATCAGGCGCGTGCTTTAGCGAGACCATTGCAACTCCGACAGGTGAATTAGACACCGGATCTGAAATCACTTAAAAGCCCGACTCGTGTTACTGTTAAGTATTGAAGGAAGCTGTCGGTACAAGAGTCATCTTCTCTATTACGTGCTCAAACAAAAAAACTTGTCTACCACAAGTCGAAAGTTAAGCAAGAATTGTGGGCCGCTGAGTCGACAACAAGTAAACCGTCATAACTTCCAAGCACTCTCACAAAAAGAAAGAAAAAAAAACTATGTTGTTTTTAAGTTTGCTTTATCGTAACGCGACTAAAATTAAAGTTTTAATTTCATGTCTTCCAACCAGCATAAATTAAAGGTTTTTTTTTTCGGTGTAACATTAAACTGAAAGCTCTATGTTCTCGCAACATCTCGAATTTTTTCCTCCTTCCTCCTTTTTTTCCCTCGCTGTCGTTATTGATTTGGACGTGGTCAAGATTTCCAAACTCACCGAATTGAGTAGTGGTCCACGAAGCTCGGACGAGGCAACTGCTCCATGCTAGGGATAGAAGAATTGTCCCCGCCAAGAAAGGGCTACTTTCCGACAAAAAGGACGCGCTGCCTGCGAAGACACAAAACAAAAAAAGGTCTTCAAAACGCTGAGCGTTCAGGTTATGAACATTCTCGACTATTTTTTTTCAACAAGACGGACGAACACTCAAGTGCCAATGTTGTTTCTTGGTCAAAAACCAAGTTTTGTTGTTGTTTTTGTCCTAGATTTTGACCACTGGAATTGTACAAAACACGACGTGGCTGGGATAAGCACGCCATTTCGAGTTTCTCGCATTTTTTTTCTTCTCAGCGCTGAAACACTCTCATGGGGAAAAAAAAAAAAAGATGTAAAAAAGGCGTTTGTAAAAAAACACACAAAGGTTGTAAAAGATGATGTTCACCGTCAATCTACACGAGTAAAAATTATTTAAAAAAAAAGTGTAGATGTGTACCTGGCATGGTCGTGAAGTGCACATTGCGAAAGGAGACAAAAATAGTGCGAGGAAACCGCAATGAACGTTTGCGCACTGGCCAGCTTTTGGAGAGGTTCCTTTCCACATAAGGGCTGAAACGCCAGATTTCGAGCCCGGTTTTTAAGCTAAATCCCCAATTGAAAGATAATAACACTTTTGTGAACTGAAATGCGCTGCCGAATCCCTGATTGAATGTTGCAGTACATATTGTTTGAGGGCATAATACTCTGCCGGCCTACACGGTTGTGAAAGATTACAACTCTCAAGGTTAAACATAACGATTTTCCCGTTCCCGTAATGGAGTCACCCTGGAATCTTGTTAATCCGTCACTGGCGTGATCCGACGCTAAGCCCTTCAATAAACAAAATTTGCAACATTACAAGAAAAATGTCCTCTACAACTTTGGAACAATCCAGGTAGCGCCTCCGTCGAGACGCCGCTCGGAAGAGGAAGAGGAAGATTAAGATGTCGTCACTTTCTCAAGCATATTTTTTTTTTATTGGCACCCTCTAAACCCTAACATTTCTTTCGTCCGTTCGTGCAATTTCCTGTTAACATTATCCGGGACTAAATTAAGACTGCATATTGGTCTAGTTGGTTTTGATTCATACTGAGTTTTTACGCCAAAAACACGAGGACAAAAGCGCCCTGTCTCGCGTTACCCCTCAACCTGCGTTTTTTGGCGTAAAACCGATGTATGCGTTGACGTCACGTGATTATTGCGTCAATACAATTCAGTTACTCCCTAAATTGAGTGGGAAAACGGACGTCATGCAACCAGGCTTTACGTGACCTATGCACCACTCAGCTTTCCTGCTAAATTGAGTTCGGAAATGGACGTCACATTATATAAACACCAATTCAGTTACCCTCTATATGGAGCGGAAACATTGACGCTAGATGACCTTGCGTCACTGGGCCTGCACAGCAATTCGGTTGCCTCCGAGCGAAAATAGGCGTCACATGACTTAAGCACCGAATCAGCTTCCCCTCTAAATTTAGCGAACAAACTTAACGTCGCGCGACTTTTACACCAATACAATTTCCCCGCTAGAATTTATCCGGGGTATTGCCAAAAAATATAGGTTGTTCTTCATTCCCTGAAACGACGTTGCAACGTCTTCAAACCAAATTTAAACGATAGTTCCTTAAATACTGTACATTCTACGCATTATGCGACTCAAGAAATAAAGGTCGGTGCCAGCTTCATTTACGTTGTTTCGTCCGTTATTTTATCACTCCGTCTCGGGGTTTTGATTATGATGTTTCGTAACCATGCAGGGGGGCTCGCCAGCAATACTTTTGCTAGTTCCCAGCTTTTTTTTAAATATAATTTACTGTCCAGGCGGATGCGAACGGGGAGTGACGCACCTCCGGTGAGCAACTTGGACGGCGGCGGAATGGCCTGCACCACGACCCTGGTGGGCTCGGAGCGCCCTCCATGGTCGTTGACGGCGAAGGCGAGCGCCAGGCACTCAGTGGCCGGCGGGATGTCGTCCACGTGGAAGACGGGGCGGCCCTTGGCGGTCACGTTGCCCAACAGAGTGCCCGAGTCGGCGTGGTACACCTCGAGCAGGTACCACTCCTGGTCCGCCGGACGGTCCTCGTCCAGCGAGCAGCGCACGAAGAACCAGGTCATGGCCTGGTTCACCACCGCGCAGCCGGACAGGGCCTTGGGGGCGCCTGTTGTTTTTTCGGACATTGGGAAAGCCCACTAAGCCGCAGTCAAAGTGTACTGCTTTACGCATCGTACAAACGACGCGCTGTTCGCTGCGGACCTTATGACCTTGTACGAGACATTGTACGAGGTGCCATCAAAAAGTTCTGAGATTACTGATTGTGTAGCGTAAAAAAGGGAAGACAGCACAGTGATACTGCGCGTGCAGCAGTCAAATGCGGGGACCTTCCTGCGTCCTTTCACCAAAGGGCGTTGCTTTGTGAACACTTGGAACTGCGCTACACGAGTTTGTTCAACCACATGCACGAGCATAACGGCAATCTTTTCATAGACTGCGAACCAAAGCAAGAGCGATCATCAATTTTACGCCAAAGTCGAAAAATCTAAAACACAGACCTCTGAAATTATTTAGGATGCTTATATATATACACATATAAAAAAAAACAGTGAAGTGTAAGAGGGTCTTTGAGTGGCACAAGCACCTCAAGAACGGCAGAAAATCACTCAAGGAAAAAAGAGGTCGGATAAGTTGGCCCTATCGCTCCTCGTCTTTCAGCGACGTTCTCCCGTTCCTGAAGCGCGAGTGCCACTTAAATCACTTCGCAAAATTCACTGCTTTCCAACGCACGCCTGCTGAACCATTTCAAAGGTCTGTTTTATATCTGCCGAGTTTCACGCAGAATGGATGTTCGGTCTCGCTCTGCTTTAAAGTCTACGGTGAAATCGCCATTGTGCCCGCGTACGTGGTCAGAAAAATTCGTGTGGCGCAGCTCCAAATGTTTATAGACGCTTTCAAGCTGCTGTGAATGGACGCCGCCATAACCGACCTTCAGTTTTTGTTCCCTCTTATTCCGTTCGCTCCACTTCATCATTACCACAGCTGGAGAGATTATTGCCATTTTAAGTGTTACTGTGTCCTTCTCCCGAGCATAGGCCCTTGTGGAGACCCGTCAACGCCGGCTTCAGTGGCTCGGTATCTCGATAAGACAGGAGAAGGGCGGCTATGGCGGCTCAATCTGGCGCGCGCTGAAAGCGTCTATAGAGCGACGCCACAAAAAAAAAAAAAAAGACCCCTTACGCCACTCAGCGCCAACACACCTTTCTTTTTGACGTCAAAATGAAAAAGGAGGGCGGGGGTGGCATACGTGAGTGCCTTAATTTCCAAATTAGGTTACACAAAAGTAACGGATTTCATTAATGGGCATTGAGTAGGACGCACTTTTTTTTTTTTTATGGGCGCTGCATGCCTTTACTGTAATTCTTTTGTTCGCAAAAAAAAAAAAAAAAAACATATAGAGTTTTTACTTGACAGCTAAGGAGGGGGTACAGTAGTTTTTGTTGTTGTTTCTGAACGTTCTTGTCAGTCGAATGTGTATCCACGTTTGATAAGAGACTATCATCATGCCGCGATCATCGCGTGATTAAGAACAAAAAATAGCCATTGGCAGTTGTGTTTCATTTGCCAGTGGCTACATGTATTCAGTGTCGTTGAGGTCAGCGAGAGTCTTAAGACTAAATTACTCCCAAGCTTATAAGCTGCATGTTTAAAAAAAAAAAAAGATAAGTGTACAATAAACGTAACGACTGTACTCGGGGGCCACAATCTGCGTCATTTCCGAAGGGAGGAATGTGCGTGCCCAGCTTTAACCGGCATTCATGGTGCGTGAACGGAAGGGTTCCCGCCTATTACACTACATTACCAGATAAAATTGTCCCCGAGTGCACCCCGTTTCACAAAGAGGTTTTTGACAGCAGTTATCATCTTGGATGTTAGAGGTTCGTTTGACCCGCGAATCCCTTGCCTACCAAAGCCGCAAAAAGAAGACTTTCAGCAGTTTTTAAAGCGCGATAACCTGTCAGCATTTTTTTTTTCTTTACGTAGAACTACGCCTTTCTCCGTGCTTGGAAGGGGGTGCAAACTTGCAAGTTGATATCACGAAAACTTGGTCACGAAAGTGACGTCAAGGAAATTACGTGTCTCTCGAGTATGAGTCAGGGAGCATCGGGTCGCATTACGTTGTCAGCGTTATAAGCAAATTTATTTTCCCCGCTAAATTTGGCGGCGAAACTTGATTTCACGTGGTTTAGACATCACATATGTTTCCCGCAAAATTTGGCTGAAAAATTGATGTCACGTGCCCTGACGTAACGAGGTATATACACCAATCCGATTTCCACGTAAAATGTTACGGGAAAATTGCTGTCCATGTGACCTAACGCCTCGTGAACTATACAGAAATTCAGTTTCCCCGCCAAATTTGGCGGGAAAATTGACGTCACGTGACCTAGACACCAGTTATGTTTTCCCGCTAAATTTGGCTGGGAAATAATCACGTGACCTGACGTACCGTGACCTGTGCACCAATTCGTTTTTTCCGCTAAATTTGACGGGAAAATTGATGTCATGTGACCTGACGTCACGTGATATATATTGATAGACCAATTCAGTATCCCCGCTAAATTTGGCGAGAAAATTGACGTCACGTGAACTAGCGTCACACGAACTATAAATAAATTTAGCTTCCCCCTTAAATTTAGCGAGTCACGTGACATCGATTTTTCGCCAAATTTAGCGGGGAAACTGAATTGGCGTTTTGAGGCAGGTGACGACAGGAGACATGACATCAATTTCCCCGTCAAATTTAGCGGACAATACGAATTGATGCACAGGTCGCCTGGCATTAACTTTCCACTCAAATTTAGCGGGGAAACATAACTGGTGTCTAGGATCATGTAACGTCAATTTTCCCGCTAGCTTTAGCGGGGAAAGTGAGTTAGTATGTACGTCCCATGACGGTCAGGTCACGTGATTTTGTTTCTTCACGAGCCACGGGCATTCACTTCTCGCGCACCCGGCCGCCATCGTCATGCGGCACAAGCCCGTGGACGTGTCTCCAGCTGCCACAAACAACACATCTGAGACGAGTGGACAAGGCGCGGACTCTCACATATCACAACCCCCCCCCCCCCCCTTTCATGTGCCACCCACACGTAGCTCTATGGACATTTATGCAGCATAGTACACCTATGCACCAACCAATATTTTTTAGGCTAATAGTGTACAGATAAAGTTGGAACTGAAGGTGGAAATTTCAACTTTTGTCAGTAAAGATTTAACCAGTGCCGCCGTTCGCGAGTAACGTTTTTATTTCAATACGTCTTGTGAAATGTCAATGGGTCATAATAACTCGAGCTGGATACGTTAGTAACCGGGATCCGTCGGACTGATCTCCTTAGCGTGGATGTCTTGAAAAACACGCTCGTACCTCGGGTAACGTTGTTAAGCCTCGCCCGCACAAAGAAGCACTTCGGCCTTCTTTCTCTCAACTAAGTAATGCTCTATTTCTTTGCCGACTGGGGCCAAGCCACGCTGAGCGACGCTAAGCCAACATAAGCTTAGTTTCATAAGCGGATATCTAGACAGCGAAGTTAAAACGCTGCGGATCCTCGCTGACGTCACGTTGAACTGCCTCTGGCCTTTTAATGAGGATCCAGCAAATGAGAAATCAACCACATCGGGCACTGCTTAATATCGACGCCCCTTTACGCCACTTCAATTAATATTTTCCTCGAAAGATTTGCGCATGCGTTCACCGCTTGTCCCCTAGGTACTGTTTATTGATTTTTTTTTTTTTTTCCGGCGGACACAACCACAGATTTTTCTTTACAGGTCACTACTTCAGAGAAGTGCGGAGTTAATTGTAGTCTCTGATGGTCTTGCGCAGTATGAACAATCCTATCGCAACCTGCGGTAAGCTGTTTCGAAAGCGTTATTGTAGCCCTCAAAAACGAGGTTCACGCAATTGTCGTATGGGTGCAGTCATATTGCGAAAACGTTTTATGCCCTTGCGTATTAAACAAAAACAAAACATTGGCTGCCGAAACCACGATTGCCGATTGTCTATGAATTGCGATAGCATTCGTCGTGCGACTCACGACGCAGCTCACTTGTCAATACGACAACACACATTTTAAATAAACATTATTTTATGAATGGTTTACGACACATTCAATGACGTCAGCGCGATTGCAGAGCGATTGCTTCGTCTCTGTACAATCGTTTAATCTTCGGACTCTGTGTAATCCCACCATCATTGCAGCTTTATGTGTGTCCCGCCCTGTCTACGTGTAATCATTTAATGTTTAAGCTGTTTCGCCACCGTCACTGACCATGTACAGACTAGCTCAACTCAACCCGATAATTGCTTTGTAGCTTAGGCGCAAATGTGAATCTGTGCGTCCTGCCGCTTCGTGTACGCGTCACTTCGTGTACGCGTCACATAGTGTCACTTTACGTCACGGTCGCCGAACTCGAGTGGCACCTACCGTGGGGTTCTACAAAGTACGTGCAGGGCGTCTTCTGCGGCCCCACCGAGTTGTTGGCCCAGCAGAGCAGCGACACGAACTCGGTGGCCACGGCGGGCTTGTAGCGGGCCAGGCTCCGGGTCCCGTTGGACGAGAAGCTGACCAGGTCCCTGACCTGCGTCCAGGGACCCTGCGCGCGTCACGGCGCCGAAGGAAACGACGAACCGAGACCCGGAGACGACAGGGCAAGACCTCTAGAGCCGTCGCTTGTATGCCGTCGCGTCGAGAACTGAAATTCTCACTCCTAAATTCCGGTTGCGTTGTGAACGCGTCCTCACGAAATCACTATAGCCACTGACAAAGTGAAAACGGCAGGGCGGTTCTTTCGAAAGCACTAGTCTCCAGTACAACCTCCATGCCTTCCACCGTGCTTTTGCTGCGCGCGCAAAGTGCACGGGACTCCGAGGCTTTGTCGAAAGTCGGAAGCTCGCGCTGGACGCGAATCAACTGAAGCCCCTTTCTGCCGTCCTCACCTTGTAGTGACTATATTTCAGATGTAGTACAGTAAGCGGCAGAGTGGGGTTGAACACACTAACGGCACATTTTCGCCTTTTACTCATACGGGTTAGTGTACAACACGAAAACCTCGAATCCCGAAGTTAGACCTCGAATATACTGCCACCTGATTACAATAGTAGTTTTGATCATCACCGTTAAATATTATGTATTACAATTAAAAAAAAAAACAAAAAAAACTGCCCATAGCGTGCAGTGTTGCGCTCAGCACATTCAAGACCTGAGGTTGAGATCCTGTATTGCACCAAGCTTGTTGCCACTCTACGACGCCACATTTCAGTTTAGAAAAACTTCGCGATGCACATAGTAACTTCTACTCATGACGTCACGGCAGGGCGGCGATGCTAACTGTAGAGCAGATCATACGAAAATACACCCCTCTTCCAAAAACTTGCTTCTGCGCAAGCGCAGTGCCTCCACACGCTGCGGGAGAAACGTGTTGACAAATAATTAGTTTCTGTTCGTGTTTCATGCAACAATTGCTGTGTTTATCTTTCGCGCGTAAAAATATGTGTGCATATTTTACGCTTTACTAAGATGAAATGCGACTGGAACTTTTTTTTTCTTTGCCATGACAAAGCCGATGGCAACGCTTCAACGACACTTCAAAGACGCGTCTCCCCTGACCTCCGAGTTGTTCTTCATGACCCAGCGGAAAGTGAGGTCCTCGGGGTCTGCGTCCATCTCGCAGGGAATGGACAACTCCTCCCTGGACGTCGAGTAGCGAAACACCTCTTGCATTCCTTTCTTGCAGCTGGGAGCATCTGAAAACGTGAAACAATAAAAAAACAAATATTGTCAAGATTTCGAAGCTTACAACAAAATCACGCAGTTTCGAAGAAAACGCCATAAACCCATTTTTGTTTCCCGGGTATTGTACCTTCTAGTGCCTCCAAGTGCGTGATAGCGGACGCTGACTTGGCACTTTTTAGGCTTTAGTTGCTACGCCCTGTCAAGGTTACTGCACGGCAAAAAAAATCAACGCCAGTGCCCCATTGGACGGCTTTCCGTTTACAGCACTTCATGCTGCTTATTTGGCTTGTGCCGCATATACCGCATTTGACTGTGTGCACACCGCAAACCGCAGCGTATATTGAGTACCGTCTGACAGCTCGAGTTCTTGACTTTGTCGCGAAAGGGAAGCATTAAAGAGAAAAGATAAATTAAGGTCACAGAAGCGCTCCTACGGACCCATCGTTTGCAAACACCTCCAGGTATTTGCATCCAGGAGCAGAACCCCCCTCTTCTCCCCAATGTTCGTCACTTGCTGGTTGAAGCGCCACCCTTTTTGCACGTCGTGGCTCTTTTCTGAACTGTTGTTGGAGAGACGCGTCGCAGTGGGCCACACGCCAATCAACTGGTGATGGAGGGCAGAGGGAGAGAAGGGGGGCGGTCATGTCTCCTTGAGGGCTTGCCAATTGGCTTCAGTTAAAAGGCGGTACTATAGGGCACTCCAAAGCAGTCCCTCGCCCTTGCGCAAAACATGCCCTCGTTTATTTGTTTGTTTTTAGGTCGCACGGTGTCTCCAAATACACGCTGGTTTGTTTCTTTTGATGGGGTGTCCAAATAAGACACGGCATCTTCCGTGTTTTCTAGATTCTCCGCATATTCCGTGAAAGTAACTGTGCACTCGTTCAGTTTCAGTTTGGACATTAATAAACAGCACAGCTCTCCTCCTCGCCTCCTCGCTGTCGCTTCTTCCCCTTTTTTGTTTTGGGAAAATTAGGGCAGAGTCGACAACAGGAGAGGCCTTGACGACAGCCAGCAGAGCGTGTGAGTGGCCCTCCTGACCCACGTGGAGAGTGCACACTAAGCCTCTGTCCAAGGACGCGAGCGGAGGGATGTTTTCCTCCGCCAAGAAAAACCTACGAAGGAGGACCGGAGTACAGCATATGCCGTTAACTAAAACAACAAGAAGAAAAAAGAAAAAAAAAAACTTCATTTGCCGGAGGAAGCTGGCCATCTGCGGTTGCCTATTTGGACAACCCCTAACGCGGTCGGAAAGATACCACGTCAGTTGTTTACAAACGTGTAAACGCCTGGTAGATTCCCCCATTCTAACTCTGTATCTTTCAGGGTCACCCCGCAGGAATACCATAAAATATGATATAATAACATCGGCCGCGAGATTGCAACCGCCAAATTAATAAATAATAAGGATGCGGGAGACTGAGCGTTCTTTCCGCAGCCTTCATAGCGAGAGTCTGGGGAGGGCAGGACGAAATTGGGGAAACTCCGGGAAACTCTCGGAAACGGCTTCCTGGAAGCGATAACGCTCATCGGGCTCGCCGAAAGCGTACGAACGTACGTGCTGCGATGCTTCCGCACACTGATTGCGATTCCGGCCGTGTAGCTTGGGATGACGAGAGCTTGCGGGAGAGCTTTATGTGGCCGTGTCTTCGCGGCGAGAAAGGACGTGTTAAAATATTGACGAGGACAATGCCGGGACGTTGTCGTCGTCCGTGAACCGTCCACACACCTTTCCAGGGGCTATCGCTTCGGCGACAAATGTCCAGTCGCCGAACGTTGGACGCATGCGCGGGCAGTGATATTCTGCTGCGAAAGAGAACCACTGCGCACGCTCAAAACGCGTAATCCCGCCCAGCTACGATTAGTGTTAACAACTGCTCCAGTAGCGAGCGTCGTCGCCCCGATGCAAATGACGACATTAGAGAACGGCGAAAGAACGCAAAAGAAACGACTATGCCACGGGATCTTCATAACTTGTCAGACAGATACGAGGCACTGTTTCATCTCCGCGGCACTAAACGTACCGCAAAAGACAATTGTCAAGGGGAATACGTCTCGACCGGCGAAAATCCAATGGCCTTGGCGCGGACAGGGTTGGATGCGCAGTTTCCTTGGAGTTTTCCACTTTGCATCAAGAGGTGTGTGGCTGCCGCAGCATTTACTGTAGCGTACAGTCGAGCCCCGGTAGAGAACAACTGCGGCTGCTGTCTCGCTGAACCCGGCATCTCGGTGAGCCGGCGGCAGCTTGATCTATTCCCCGGCGTTGGTCGACTGCGCGATGACGGTGCGATGTGTCCTTTCACGACACGCGCTTCCACACCACCAGGGGAAGGTTTGACGCCGTAGGCGCACTGTTTGATGTGAATGGGTCAAGGGGAATGTATTCTCTCTATACTTTGTCTCATCTTACGTCTGAGCACGGCGGATGTTGTGAACGGAAGGGCAATTCAAACCGCGCAAAAAGCGCAACGCCATGACGCGCTCTTTGCGCTTGATATGACAAGCCGGCGGACGAGCATGCACAGAAAGACGGCTAACAATGGCTGCCATCTTCTCTAAAGTGCACACAGCACGCCATGACGGTGTGCATTTTTTTGCTGTTTGATTGGCCCATTTGTCCATAAAATCGGCCAAGCTCGGGCTTAAGGGGAAACGAAGCATAGTACTGTATTTGGTAGCACTTTGTGTACATCCGAACGCTGCTGGGGATTGCCCGCGCCATCAAGATCGCGCCAATACAATGACAGACGTGAGACATGGAGCGAATCAACAAATGCGCCCCCCATTCTCGGACCCTTAGTGTGAAGACATGAGGGAGAGCTAGCGAGACTTGTCTGCCTCTATTTGATGTTGCCACGGCCCGGTAGACAATGAAGACAATGCGCAAAAGGCATTTCGAAAACCGCCTTTTGCGCAGTGACACCTCTGTCTAATGGGAATGCGTTCTCAGCACGCTCTCTTCGGTAAACACCAAACGCTGAGCATTCGTCTGTAGCCCAGCGACTCGGCCGTTTTAAAGCGGTAGCATTTTAGGGCGAACCAACCTCAAGAGCCGCGTATGCACGACAGGCATAGGTAGATCAGTCCGTAACCGCTATACGATCTTGAAAAAATACGGCAACCGGTGCCAGGGGTCGAAGCCCGGTCACCGGTGTGAAAACCGAGTGCGCTGCTAAGCTATGGATCGAGTACAGTGGCCCAATTTTTTAATAATACCAAGCGAGCGTGGACCACCGGGACGTCAATTCAAACCGCGCAAAAAGCGCAACGTCATGGCGCGCTCTTTGTGCTTCATATCAAAGCCGGCGGACGAGCAAGCACAGAAAGACGGCTAGCAATGGCTGCCATATTCTCTATACTGCAGACAGCCCGCCATGACGGTGTGCATTTTTCGCTGTTTGATTCGCCGTGCCTCGGAGGCGTGCGGCGACACGGGAGAAATTAGACGCGTGCGCACAAAGCTCTTTTCATTGCGAGCGTCGTCTGCTATACTCCGCGACAACTTTTCTTGGCAATGCCGTGGAAGGTACAGGCCCGCTTTCCATCTCCCATTTTGAGTGTGCGCGGGCTCTCCTCCTCTCCCCGGAAATGGGGGAGGAGGAGAGCCTGCGTACACTCAAAGTGGGAGAGGGGACGCGGGCCTGTACCTTCCACTACATTGCCAAGAAACGTTGTCGCGGAGTATAGCCTATTCCGCTGCCCACACTCAGCCCCTGTTCATTATCTGTTGCGTACCTAACCGCCTTTAAGCAAAAATCTGAGCGACGCTTGCTTGCGTGATACTGCTCAGGCGGGGCATGAAACGCGCGGCATCTTGAGTTTAATTTAGCTTTTTTTCTATTTAATATTATATCCCTAACGAGCGTATTGGTAAGATGTACTAGATAACAGAAAGTATAAAATAGAGAGAGGACGAAACACAGACGAGTACATTTTCTCAACTCTCAACAAAGTTTTTTCCATGGGGTGCGAACGTATGTTCCACTGCGCAGACTTAAGGAAAGGGGGAAAGGGCAGAGGCAGCGGGGGGAAGGAAGTTAGAGGAAGGAAGGGCGGGTACTCGTCTGTGTTTTGTCCTCTCTCCGTTTTATAGTTTCTGAGCACCAACAAAAAGAAAAAAATACGGTGACGCGACAACCTGAATGCAACGATGCATTAAACTATATACCGCAGCTAATGCTACGAGCCATCAAAACGTGTCCAGTGCTTTCACCCTGCCACGTGATATCGTGCTTCCACGTGCAGTTGTACCCAACGGGAAGGCCACGTGACACGCTTTTAGCGATGTACTGGCCAAGATGGCTCGTGGCGTTGGCTGCGGTACAACACAAAGGAAAACTTAGTATGGACAGGGTTTTCGCTTGGTGTTTTGAATTATCAACTGTGTTGTTGCTGTCTTCATATAGCATATGTAGTCGGATGGTCACTTTTTTTTTACCAGCGGGCGCGCGCACATTTTTATGCCTCCTAGAGTGCCCATAGAAACAAGGGCACGCATTGTGAGAATGTCGATGGGCGGCATGACGCAAAGGGATATAGCAACAACAGTCGGGGTTACACAGGCTACCGTCAATAGGCGATGCACTTCGATATTGCAAGCGACCTGCCCTCCTTAGCTACAGTGCAGGGGCTGTTTGCGATCAACGGAATAGCCTAGTAGACGACGCTCCCACCAGAAAGGGCTTTGTGCGCACGCGCTTAATCTCTCCCGTATCGCCGCACGCCCCCGCGGCACGGCGCTGCCTGTCCCGGCGGTCGACCCTCGCTTGATATTATTAAAAAAATAGGCCACTGTACGTAGGAACGGGAGGAGCAGAAGCACGTGGTGTGAGAAGTAGAGCGGAGCGGAGAGGAGGTGGAAAGGGCAAGAAGGAAAGGAGCCGAAATAGATGGTGTAGAAAGAGCGCGCCGAGCGAAGAGTAGTGGAAAGGGTAGAAAAGCACGCTTCCCCTCTTTTGATGACTGATGAATTTTAGCGCGAGACTCTAATCGGGTGGAGCTGAAGGGAAGCACG